AACACGCTCCCCCTTGGCAACCGCACGCGGAGCGTGCCCCTGCAGATCAGATGTATGAACAGCGCTGGCTGGGGCTCAGCACTGGAAGGATGCCTGCAGCCGAGTGGACCACAGCGAGGGTGTCCGATGCCCCAGCGTGGGTTGGACCTCGCGAGCGGCGGGCATGTCCGCATCCACGCCCTCGCAGTAGATACGGACGAACACCTCCTACTTCCGGGACGTGACCCCGTAGATACGGAGTCGCATGGATACGCTCTGCGCGGGGCATCCGCGAAACACCGCCCCACATCCATGGGGTCGCGGCCCAGGGTACCAGCTGGCGAGGCCGTGGATATGTGCACCTTTCCCGCCTGCGAGCATGGGCAGGGGCAGGGCTCGCAACCTGTCGCAGGGGGCGGCGGACCGCCTCCCCATCCCACCATCATAGAGGGATGCAAAGCCCCTGGGGACGGGACGGGGTGGGCATGGGCAGGCGTCATGAGCTCGACCGCAGCCAATGCGAAGCATCAGTGCCTCTACGCCTGTACGCAAGGTTGCTCCACGAACTAAGGGCTCCCAACTTCGCGCTTCGCGCTGCGCGAAACGCGAAGAGCGGATATATTCGCGCTCTCGCGCCGCCTCCCAGGGAAGGAGAGGAGGATGAGGAGGAATCGGAGCCGAACCGCGAAGCGCGAAGCGCGAAAAAACTTCGCGCCCTCGAGGGCGCCCTTGCTAACGGATCCAACCCATACTCCAATCATTGGCGGATTCTGGAAACCCTGACCCCTAAAATTTTGTCACCGCTTGGGACTTCCGTCGGCCTTCCGCCGGCGGAGCCGCCCTCGGTTTACTTCCGCCGCCCTCCGCCGACCCTGCGCGGCCCTCCGCGGAGTAGCAGGAGGAGGAGGAGGAGGAGGAGGAGGAGGAGGAGGAGGAGGAGGGGGAGGAGGGGGAGGACGAGGCCGACGAGGACCCCCCGCTCCGCAGGGTCGCCAGGAAGCTGCCTGGGTCGTCCAACAGCCGCAGCCGGCTCTCGCCCCGGACGCCCTCGGGAGGCGGGGCGAGCTGGGGCTCGAAGGTCAGCGGCTCCTGCTGGGCGCGAGCGTCGCGGGTCGAGGCTGGAGGCTGGTCCAAAGGTCGTAAGAAGGGAGGGCCGAAGACGGTTCCAAGGCGGCCCAAGAGGGCCTCAAGAGGCCCCGAGAGCGCTCCGAGAGGAATCCCGGGAGAGCCCCAAGAGGCCAACATCGTCGATTTCACAAGGGCTTTCGAAGGAGGTTGGGGTTCTCTCATTTTCGGCTTTCCGACGCTCCAAGATTGCCCAAGAAGCTCCCAAGACCGCCCATGACAACCCAAGACGCCTCCAGGAGGGCCCCAAGACGGCCCGAGAGGGCTCCAAGATGCCCAGACGAGCCGCTTTGGACCCCCCCACCCAACCCAGGCCAGCCATGCAAGGGCGGCCTGCTGCCCAGATCCCACTGCCAAGACAGCTCAAATCGGACCCACATGTGACCCCCGCTTTATCATGAAGCCCAGAGTGGTCGGTCTTTCCGGGGGCCTCCAGGCGCCTGTGGAGGCCTCCAGGGACCTCCGGAGACCTCCAGGGACCGCCGGCGAACTCCAGAGGCCTCGACGTGGTCGTCGTCGTCGTTGTCGAGGGCGCCGAGGTCGCCCAGAAACGCCCCCCACCCCTCGCGCGGAGCCTGGACGAGGCCCGCACGACGTCGACGTCGTCGTCGTCGTCGTCGCCATCGTCGCCGCCGCGAAGAGACATGGGGGCTAGTGGTTCAGAAAACTTCGGCCTCCGCTGGCCGCGACAGCAAGCACAACTTATCCCTGCAAAGCACCCTGTAGTCGAAACGCTGTCAGAAGGAATCCTCAAGAAGGGCCGAGGCCCCTTTTTCCAGAGGTTAAACTTCGATTCCCCATAGAACACCAAAGACAAACTGTAAAACAAGAAAGGAACACTGAGCCCCTCTCCGACGGCACGAGCTCCTTCTTCAGCGGCCCGACTGCAATAGCAGCAAAGATGAAGAGGCGGGTCGAGGAGTAGGCGGTCGATTATATGGGGACAAGAGTGAGAACACGGCCATGTGCATCTTATGGCTTCTGTTACCCAGGATCGTGACCGTCCGGACCAAACATGTAGCCAGCATTGCGGCGAGAGCAAGGTTCCTGAAGAGAGTGCGAGGGAGGCCGATGGAAAACAGCTGCTGGACCAAGCGCCCTCGGGCTCCCCGTGCCCCCCTGTGGGACTCTTCGGTCCGCCTTAACATGCTCTTGTGCTGGGGGTCTCGTGGCCGTCGGGACCAAAAATGTGGCCGGCAGTGAGGCGAGAGCACGCTTCCTGCACAACTTGTGGGGTCCCCACAATTTTTGCGAAGTGCGAATAACTTCGCGCTCTCGCGCCGCCTCCCAGGGGAGAAGAGGAGGATGAGGAATCGGAGCCGAACCGCGAAGCGCGAAGCGCGAACAACTTCGCGCCCTCGAGGGCGCCCTTGGGGATCGTGGCCGTCGGGACCAAACATGTAGCCGGCAGTGAGGCGAGAGCACGCTTCCTGCACAAACTGTGGGAGGCGTCACAGGCCAAACGACTGCAGGGCCAGCTGCCGCAGGGGCGAGAGCACGGCCGTGGGGCACCCGAGCGTGCACTCCTCCTCCTCCTCCTCCTCCTCCTCCTCCTCCTCCTCCTCCTCCTCCTCCTCCTCCTCCTCCTCTCTCCTCGCTCCTCGCTCCTCGCTCCCTCCTGGCTCCTCCTCTCCTCCTCCTCCTCCTCCTCCTCCTCCTCCTCCTCCTCCTCCTCCTCCTCCTCCTCCTCCTCCTCCATCTGCCCACGAGCCACGAGGCCGGGAGACCGAGACGCCGGGACCGAACCGACCACGTCGTGGAGACCTGGGGCAGCACACCGCAGAAGCAGCAGCAGCAGCAGCAGCAGCAGCAGCAGCAGCAGCAGCAGCAGCAGCAGCAGCAGCAGCAGCAGCCCCAGACATCCGGCTTCTCCAATTATTTTGATGCGTGGGCCCCAGAGGTCCGGACCAGTTCCCCAGGACTGGGTTGTCGTCTTGAATCGTTTTATGACGCTCCCGACCCCTGGCGAGGGACCCAGAGGCCCAAAATCCCACCGCTCCAATATTTGTTGGAGCGTCAGATCTCTGGGGCAGCAGCAGAAAAAGGCGGTAGGAGAGCTCCAGACAACAGGTCACCACCGGCCCTGGCCAAGCCCATCCTGGGCCCTGGGCTGATGTGCAGGCCCCCTCCTGGCCCAGACCTGGAGGTCTATACAACAGTCCAGGGCCCAGGAAGGGGAGGAGGAGGAGGAGGAGGAGGAGGAGGAGGAGGAGGAGGAGGAGGAGGAGGAGGAGGAAGAGACCTGGCCAGGGCTGGTAATGGTGTATTGCTGGCGTCCCTCCGAGCCCTGAGGTCCGACGTTGCGAACAGATTGCAACGTCGTAAAAATCACGCCCGGAGCCAGGGACCCCACCTCCCTGCGTCATTTGTCGAGCCGGATCGATCTGTGAGGGCCCCGGGCGCCCGTCGCGAAAAAAATGCAACGCCAGGATATCAGGGAGGCTGGTGGTGGCGTATTGCTCGAGCAGGGGATCGACTACGGAACTGAGTTACCCCAAGATTGATTCCGCCGTCGAAGAGGCGAAGACATGTCGAAGACCCCGCCGATCCACGGAACATGCCACGTATTTGTGGTCAGCTGCGGGCCCCGAAAATATTCACCACCACCACCACGTCTATTCCTCCTCCCTCCTCAATCCTCTCATTCCTTTCCTCTTTCCTGGGAGAGGGAGGGGGTGAGGGAGGTGGTAGTGGTGGTGGTGTCTATGTTTGGGCCCCGTATCATCAGCACTCCCGGGGAAATCCAGGGCTGGCGCCCCTCCGACCTGCTCCCCTGCTCGATCTCCCCTCTGCGCGACCTCGCTGGCGCCCCTCCGAGGCCCAGAAACCCCCCGACGGCGTGATTCGTTCTCGCGACGTCGACCCCCAGAGAGGTCCGAACCCCTTCCCCGGGACCCCAGAGATCCAACGCATTGACAAAAGTCACGGCGGAGGTTTCTCGCAGGTTTCGGCCTCTAGGGGCCGTGACCAGGCCTCGGGACCGTCAAAAAACGACTCGGGATGCGAAACCGGTCGCGCGGAGAAGGGGTCGAGGCTTCTGGAGACCTTGCATCGGCATTGAAAAATCACGACATCGGATCTCTGGGATCCCTTCCCCGGGACCGGCTCTTTCTCCTGAGTCCTTTTTTGACGGCCCCGGTGCCCAGTGAGGGCCCACGGAAGCCCCAACCAGCGAAAAGCCTCCCGCCGCGACTGTTTCCACAACGCAGGGGACCTTTTTTTTGGATCGGCGATAACCCGGGTTATCCCGAGGGGGGGGGCGGGAGGAGGAGGGGGCCGGCCGATAACCTAACCCTCGCGCTGTGGGCAGCCCTGCATATGCCCGCGGCCCCCCCTCCCACGGACCTGCACAACCGGCAAGGTTGGGTTCTCCGGGAGGAGAGGGGGAGGGGGGGGGGGGGGGCAAGCTAGGTGCGCTCGAGTCATATCTGACGTCCTACCCCTTCCTCCCATCCCTTACCATTGCGCTGATTTTCTCTATCCGCGGACGCGTGTCGTAGCGGACCTGTGGCTCCGCGCGCGCGTGCGTAGTGGGTGGTGGTGCACGTGCGTGCGTGCGTGCGTGTGTGCGTGGTTGTCGTGGTGGTGGTGGTGGTGGTGGTGGTGGTGGTGGTGGTGGTGGTGGTGGTGGTGGTGGTGGTGGTGGTGGTGGTGGTGGTGGTGGTGGTGGTGGTGGTGGTGGTGGTGGTGGTGGTGGTGGTGGTGGTGGTGGTGGTGGTGGGTGTGGTGGTGGTGGTGGTGGTGGTGGGTGGTGGTGGTGTGTGGTGGTGGTGGTACTGGTGGTGGTGGTGGTGGTGTGGTGGTGGTGGTGGTGGTGGTGGTGATGGTGGTGGTGGTGGTGCTGGTGGTGGTGGTGGTGGTGGTGGTGGTGGTGTTGGTACTGGTGCTGGTGCTGGTGGTGGTTGTGGTGGTGGTGGTGGTGGTGGTGGTGGCGGTGCGGCGCGGTGGTGGCGGGCGGATGGGCGCGCGAGAAAAAGGCCCGCGCTGGGGCGAGAACGCCATCCTGAACGACGGAGGCCAAACACCGATCCGAAAATGAGGCCCACGCTGCAGCGGGAGCACGATTCGGAACGATTCGGGAGCAGAAATGAGGCCAGCGCCTCAACGAGAGCAGCATTTTGGGAAAAAATGACGCCAGCGCCTCAGCGAGAGTCGTTTCCCGGGATTTCCCGGGCATCCTGTGTGTAAAAAAAAGTACGCGGAGGGTGCGCGGCCATCACCCAGACGCCATCAGGGGAAGAGGGAGAGTATTTTCATATTGAGTAATTGTAGAGGGGGGTGAGCAGGGGGGAGGGGAGAGGGGGGGGGAAGGGGAGAGAGGGGGGAGGGGGGGGGGCAAGCCCGATAACGCAAGCTATCGCCCGACCCCAGAAAAAAACGTCTCCAGAGGGGGTCCAGGGAGCCCGGGCGCCTCACGGCGGAGCCAGTCCCCGGTGCTCATCTGCGCGCAGCCGCGGCAGGGCATCCGCGCGGACGACCGGCTGATCTCCGGGCGGAAGGACCACTCCGAGGCCGAGCCCCCGCCTCGGCGGCGCTCCTCCTCCTCCCCCTCCTCCTCCTCCTCCTCCTCCTCCTCCTCCTCCTCCTCCTCCTCCTCCTCCTCCTCCTCCTCCTCCTCCTCCTCCACCTCCTCTCAAGCAATTTGGGCTCGAGCGCCATTTTGGCATCCGACGCCCAACCTCGCGCCTCCACGTGGTGCTTGGGGGGCTGCGCACTTTCTGTCCACCCTTTCGGACAGCCAGTTGCGTAGGCGAAAGCGAGGCTTCGTCCGTGGACCCATGGCCAAGGCATGGAGTACATGTGCGAAATGCGGCACTCACGAGTACAATGAGAAGATCCTCGCCAACTCGGGGAAGTGCGGCAAGTGCAATTGTCCAGTCAAGCTGTACAAGCCCAAGAAGGGCACAGATGCTCAGTCTGTTCAACCATCCAGGCGCTTTCCGCCGCGATGGCCAGGGTGACCGACCCAGCTAGCAGGAAGGTGCTGGCGGAGCAGCTCGAGGCGACGGAGCGCGGGACGCAGGTGGCCGACCAGCCTCCTGCGGTCTCGCCGAGCGAGGCGGTTCGGCGCGCCGACGGCGCGTGGAAGGACGCCAAGCAGAAGCATGTGCAGGCGAGCGCGGCCGTCTCCCGCTGCCAGGAGAATCTCGCGGCAGCGATGAGGAAGGAGGAGGAGGCGGCGCGCACACTGGCGCTGGCTGAGATCAGCAAGCGCACGGCGGCGGTGGCTCTGGCTCGCGAGGCGGGCGTGGCTACCGCAGGCGGCAATGCTGGTGGCGGAGGTCCTCCTGGTGGAGGGGGGGCTGAAGCAGATCAGCAGCCGATGATGAATGATGAGGAGTTTTCCAAGCAGCTCGACACGCTTGAGCGCACGGAAGGTGAGAGGCAGGATCTCAAAAAGGTAGAGGCCGAGCTGAAGGCCGCGAAAGAAGAACGCCATCAGCAAGGCCGACGAGGTGCAGAAGTGGAAGACCCAGGTGCTCGACCTCAGGCAGAAGGTGAAGGAGCGCTTGGACAAGAAGCGGAAGCTCGACGGCGACAACGGCGATGCTGCTGGCTCGGGGGCTGGCGGCGTCAACGGCGGCGGCGGCCAGGGGCAGGCGGCTGCGGGCTCAGGGAGCGCGGCGGCGGCTTCGGCCCCCACAGCCCCTCGAAGGCGGCGGCAGGCGCGGCGCCCGCAGCGGCGCCCCCAGGTTCGCCATCGGAGGACGAGATCAAGATCGAGATGGAGCGCATCAGGGCGGCCTCGGCGGCTGCCAAGGTGGCAGCAGAGGCGGCTGCAGGGCGCGCCCGCTGCTGGGGCGGGCGCGCCCGCTGCTCCTGCGCGAGGCAGCGCGGCGGCGGCAGGCCCCACGGCGCCTGCTGCCATCAAGCCGCTGAAGCCGATCTCGGAGAAGCTGCCGTCGGCGGGCGACGGCGACACTTCCGTGTGCATGTTCTACAGCAATGTGGCCACGCAACAAGACGTGGGGCTATCTCAGTTCTGAGTCGACGTTGGCCAAGTACGAGCACATAGGCGTGGTGGAATCTCATATCGGCACCCATACGCGGCCAAGTGGGCTCGCCGAGCCCGGGCGTTGAAGCTCAAGTACTACGACAATCCTGCGAGATCGACGGGTCGAGGTACCTCTAAGGCGACGGAGGGGCGCGCCTACGAGGGCGGGGAGATCATGTTGGCACGCGGACATCTTTCAGCTCATCGAGTTTTTGACAAGCCGCGGGAGAGCGCTAGTAGCTATTGTGCAAAGGGCTCAGATGCTCTCGATGGCTTCATGCCAACATTAGTGCACATGTGCGATTTATCGCTGCTTGTGGTACGGTTTTACGCACACCCGTCAGTAGAATTCCCAGGCATCAACTCGGACATATATGCTAAGCTAGGCGCACCTCTGTCTTCGGTAAAGTTGCCATGGCTTGTCATAGGAGATTATAACATAGATGTTGCGAAGTTCCAGAGATCCGCATTTTGTCGTCGCGTCGGAGGAGTGATACGTCGGGCTGATGTGGAATACACGTGCATCGGGAGTGCCGGTAGCTCACACATCGATTTCGTCATAGCGCCTGAGTGCTGTCTTCCATACATTCGCAGTCTCACCCCAGTTGTTGACACACCATGGGCCCCTCACATCGGACTTGAGTTGCGCTTGAGAGGTGCAGGAGAACAGTTGCCATGCAGATCGTTGCTCGTCGCCCCCAGATTGCCTCAAGTTCCACGGCCGACTGTTGGCGCCACTGCTGGGTCGAAGTCTAGTGCCAAGAAGCTCGAGCAGGCCGAGCGTGCGCGAGAAAGAGAAAGAGCGTCTGATTAGTGAGTGCGATCAGCTGTACGGTGATTTTTCTTGCAAGGAAGTCTTCCCCTGAGCCTCCCGAACCTGGAGATCTCGACCCATCCGCTGGCGGCCCCGCTGGCATTTCCTCGCTGGTCGACCCTCTGGGGGAAGAAGGCTTCGATGGGGTTTTTTGAAGCTGGGGAAGAGGACCCCTGGGCCGACGAGTCCTCGTTTAAACCTGCCTCTAGAGTTTCAGATTCTCCAAGTAATCCTCCTGGAGGGGCGCAGCAATTCGGAGCGCGGAGGAAGAGACGTCCCCCCCAGCCGAGCGTCCACAGAACGACGGTCCCCTGGATGGGGGTCAGCGATGATCTCCCCTCTGCCGATGCTGCTGCTTCTCCTGCTCCCCTCCCGTATTTCGCCATCCCCTCCTCATCGTGGGTCGCCGCTTTGGCTCAAGTCCCCTGGACAGCGCACTCTATTGACGATGTTTGGCCACCTATTAGTCAATCGCTCGCCTTCCAGTCTGGCGCGCAGCATGTGTTGCCCATCAGTGGGGCTTTCTCCCAGTGGGTGGCTGCTACAGAGTTGACCATCGCCGATCATCATAATGTTGGAGCTCCAGATCGGTCTCGCGCAACCGGTTGCGAGCTTCGAGTGGTTTCTGTCAAACAAGCCGAACACGTTCGACAAGAGCCGCTCCGAGACGGTATTTCCACGTGATGGTCCAGGATACACAATATCGTTCAGCGTGCGCTACGCCATCGCAGGCGCAGCAATGGCACCGTGCAGCTGGGCTACTTGGCGGCAACGGCCGTCAGACTGGCTGACCAGCCCGTCGACGGAGCAGGCACTGCATTCCCTGCTCACCTTGGCTTGTGGCAGGGCCTCTTGCAGGACCTCAGGCGCGTCCTCGAGCTCAACGTCGAGGAGCTGGGCGCGCTGGAGGAGAGGACTTTTCAGAGCTTCGAGGCGAGCGCAGAATCGTGCCGCTGCATCGTCTTTGAAGGATTTTCAGCGATGGTTCAGCGGTCTTGACTCACAGGGGCAAGTCTTTAGATCGCCGAAGGATCCCGATCCTGAACGGGACGAGCTTCATGATGCCCACGGCCCTGTCAGAGTGCACCCCAAGGACATAGTTGATCGCAAAGTAGTTCGCCATCATAAGTTATGGCACTCAGAGGTCACAACTTGGGACGGAGTTTTGGCCACGATGGAGACGATCAGGAGTAGGGCCGAGGTGGAGCAGCTCGTGCCTCTAGAGATTCCTGATGTTCGGGCTGCGTTATCGCGCATAAAGGCCTGAGCGGGCCTCGGCATCGACAGGCTTTCCCCGACGGACATGGAGAGATCGCCCGACGAGGGCATTCAGTGCCTCTGCGACCTCTTTCGCATGATCGAGGAGGGCCTCTCCTGGCCATGGCAGGTCATGTGCGTGGTCGGCAAGCTGATCGGCAAGAAGTCGGGCGGCGATCGCGTGATTGGCTTGATCGCCATGCTGCGCCGCGTCTGGTCCATGGCCAGGGAGGTGCAGATGAAGGAGCGGTCAGCCATCCAGGCTGAGACGGACCACCGGGACGCGGCCATTGCGGGAAACAGCGCCTTGCGGGAGGCGTTCGCGCGGGCGCTGCAGGACGAGGTCCACTCTCGACTGGACATCCCGCATGGCCAGACGGTGGTCGATATCGCTTCATTGTATGATTCCATTGAGTGGGAGCCTTTAGAATTGTGCGCTCTGTGCAAAGGATTCCCAGCAGTCATCTTGCACCTGGAGCTCCAGATCTGCTTAGCTCCTCGCATGCTGGAGCAGATCGACTCTTTCAGCGAGCCGTTCCAGGTGACGCGCTCGGTGGTGCAGGGGCTACGGAACGGCACTCAGTTCGCCAAGTGCCTCACAGCCTATGTCTGCCAGTGCCTTTGCCAGGCGCACGTGTCGTTGAGCGAGCGCATCTGGATCGGCGACTTATCCCAGCGTGTGATGGGGTCGAGGCAGCACGCACGGTCGACTCTCATCAAAGGCGCGCTGTCGACGATCAGGCTTTTTTCCAAGTTGCAGCTGTCCGTCGCCGACAAGAGCGTTGTGCTGTGTTCTCACCATAGTGACGCTCAGGTTGTTGAGCGCGTCCTCAGGAAGAAGGGCGTCACGCTGCGCGCCGTGCTGCAGACAGCCTACCTGGGAGTGGACTTGTCCTGCGGCAAGCGGCAGGGCCGTGCGACGGTCAGGCAGAGGGCGCTCAAGTCTAGCAAGGCGCACGGGCGGCTGCGGAGGCACGCCCAGGCTGCCAGGCGCTGGGCGGTTTCAGCCAAGCTGCAGAGAGCGGGGCCACAGGCGGCAGCCGTCTACGGGCATCACGTGTACGGGCAGTTCGGCTCGGTGCTGCAGACCCAGCGCCGCAGGCTCGGCGCGGCGGCGGGATCGGCCAAGCGTGGCCGGTGTCTCATGACGCTGCTGGCGCTCAGACTTCCAAGGAGCGACCCTGGAGTTCAGCTCCCACGGCAGTGTTTATCTCAGTGGCTGAGTGTGTGGCTGACCGACCCTCAGATTCGGCCAGCGATAGTGCGAGCGTGGCCGCGTGCCGTGGCTCATCTTTCTAGCTTACCAGCCGGCCAACGAGTGCGTCACATTCGGGGGCCGATGACGACAGTTATCATGTACTTGCTGGAGGCAGGGTGGACGCCGACCTCACCAACAGAATGGGAAAAGCCGCATGATGGCTCTTTGATGTCGCATTCGTGGCAGTTTCACGGCAGTGACTTCGAGGCGCTGGATCAAGCAGGACCTCTTCTAGATGAGTTTCTGCGGACACGAGAGCTTCAGCAGTGGTGAGCTGCGGCTACGCAGTTTTGTGGCGAGGGCGTCGGCGACGGCGTCGACATGGCATCGCTGCAGTCCATGATTCACGACCTACAGGACGTCAAGAAGGGCAGGCAGCTCGCGGAGCTGCTCGTGTTCATTGCGACGGACGGCTACTGGACGCGCGAGAGAAGCTTCCAGGCCAACTTATGCAGCTCATCGGATTGCCTTCGGTGCGGAAAAAGGACCAGAAACACCTTTGCATAGATGTTGGACTTGTGAGGCAAACGCCAGCTCCGTGTCCAAAGCTTATGCTGATTCGAACGACTTTCTCACCCAGGAAATTTCTGAGTCGGAAGCTTTCCCGTGTTTTTGGATGCGGGGCCTCATCCCCTCTTCCTGGACTTCGGTTCCTCCTCCTCCCTCCGAAAAGGCCACTCTCGGGGGCAATTGGCTCGGAGGCTCTTTGAAGGAGGGCTGTCTAGGCGCGGGCACGTCTCAGGAGCCCCTGGTCCTTTTTGGGGACGCTTCGGGGGGAAAAGACACCCACGACTCCAGGCTCCGTAGGGTAGGGCTGGCTGTCGCCAATATTGAATCTTATGACCCGCCTGCTCTGGGGCCTGTTATTATGGGGCCGCTCCCTGGGGCCTCTCAGAGCGTTCCGCGGGGCGAGCTCTTAGCTTTCCTTTGGGCCCTCCGATATTCGGTCGGGGTGCCAGTGTATATGACAGATTGTGCAGAGGTTGCGAGGGGGTGGTATTCCGAGCTTTTCCGTAGACCCGAGGGGCCACAGGCTGACCTCTGGATAGAGGTAGGCAAGCTCCTTCAGCGGCAGGCTCGACACCCGACCAGAATTATAATCATGCAGGTTCCCTCGCACCTCAGTCCACGAGAATATCTTACTCGCGGGATCCCGAGTTGGCTCGTGATTGACAATGCTTGTGTAGACGTCCTTGCTGGTGAATCAGCTGCGCACGCGCGTGTTTCCCAGGCCAGTCGTCATCGAGTGATGTCCATCGAACACAAAGCCATGCTAGTTCGGAGGCGGCTTTTAAGAGTAGGGCTAGATGTAATTCGGGCCTCTCAAAAGTCAGGTGAAGCTGGGGCCCCAGCACGCACTGGTCCTCCTCATCCGCCTCCCCCTCCTCCTATTGCTGTTGGACGCTTCGCGTCAGCCCACTCCCTGACCGAAAGTGGTAGGGCGTGCAATGTGTGTAGAGGCTCTGCGACCAAAGCTGTGTTGTCGGAATGGTTAAAAAGCGAGTGCTTCCAACTCCATCATGTGAATAGCCAGATTGCCCGTGTTCCGAGAGGACGGCGTTTACACTTGGCTGGGGGTTGGACCCATCCCACTCACGCTTTGATTTATCAGAAAGACCTTCAATTGTGGTATTGCGGCACTTGCGGTTTCTCGGTCAAGCCCAGCTCAGGGGGCTAGCGGAACCGTGCAAATTGCCCATCTCGAAGGCCAGGCGCGAATATCTCGACAGGATTGAACGCGGCCTGTTTCCGAAGTGCTGAGCTTTAAGCCTTGTTATCACTACGTGATGGCGGAAATCCGGGAAATCCTCCTCCACCTCCTCCTCCTCCTCCTCCTCCTCCTCCTCCTCCTCCTCCTCCTCCTCCTCCTCCCCCTCCTCCTGCTCCTCCTCCTCCTCCTCCTCCCCCTCCTCCTCCTCTTCCTCGGGCGCGGCCCAACAGACCCCTAGCAAACCATCTCCTTGTATGACGGCACCCTCGCCTTTCGAGCTCCCCTCCAGCCGCATGCACACGTCGTGGGGCGAGGCGAAGGGGGCGTCACGGAAGGGGATGGTTTGCTAGGGGTCGGCCAGGCCGCCCCTGAACCCTGGGGGGGGACGATAGGAGGCCTCTCTGGAGACGGTCGCCATCCTTTTTGTGAGCCTTAGGTCGGGCATGTCCTCTTACAGGCGGCTCTTGGAAGAAACACTCAAACTGGTGAGAACAAATTCAAACAAAAAGTCAAAAGAGTACGGAAAATCGTCGCCAGACTATGTTTCAAATGTTCTTGGAAGCTTCCTCCTGCAGAAGGACGTGCCCGATTTCACGAGAGCCTCCCAGGGGCCGTCGCCCGGCGATGGGCTTCCCACAGTTCGGAAGCATGGGAACCCTGGAATCACCAAAAAAAAGGAAAAACGACAAGAGAAAAAGCTGTTCGTGGTGGCGCCAGTCCTGTCCACCACTCGCAGGCATTCGGCCGTCGCCTCTTCCGACTCGTGGAGCCACGGGAAACCCACCGCCGGACAGCAGCCCTCCCGGGGGCCTCCCCGCCGCCACCGCCGTGGATTCCCCTCGCGACTCGGGCCGGGGCGCACGGAGCCTGCCTCGGCGGCGAGCCGAGGGGGGGGGGGGAATCGAGAAGGAGGAGTCCCTCTCAGAAGGCTCGGAAGTCCCCGGCCATCTGAGAAGTCTCCTAAGCCTGCTCCGAAAACTTATACATACATACATATACATATATATAGAGAGAGATATATATAATCTCCTCGGAAGGCACGAGGGCTGCTGAGAAGTCCCGCCGCCTTCGGAGAAGGCCTTCTCGTGCTCATTTCCCCCTCCCCCCTTCGCGCGCCGCCGACTGCCAAGGCCCAGGGCCCGACCTTTCCAGGAGAGGGCGGGGAGGGCTGGCGCGAGCGCGGGCGCGGAGAGGGGGGCGCAGGGAGGAGGGGGGGCGGCCTCCTAATTAGGGAGACAACAGGAGGGAGGAGGGAGGAGGAGGAGGAGGAGGAGGAGGAGGGAGGAGGGAGGAGGAGGAGGAGGAAGAGGGAGGAGGAGGAGGAGGAGGAGGAGGAGGAGGAGGAGGAGGAGGAGGAGGAGGCGGAGGGAGGAGGAGGAGGGGAGGAAGGGAGGAGGAGGAGGAGGAAAAGGAGGAGGAGGAGGAGCAGGGGGAGGCGGAGGAGGAGGAGGAGGAGGAGGAGGAGGAGGAGGAGGAGGAGCCGGGAGCTCCAGGGAGACTTCCCCGAGGGGAAGCCTCCCGTGGGAAGGCCCTATGAGGTCCTCTGCCGGGGCCCTGGTCGACTACGGAGCTGGTTCACAGTCAACCCCTATCATAAGGACGCGCAATAAGGGTGCGAGGGCCTTGGGAGGCCGTGTCGACACTTTGCGAGCGGGGCGCGGCCAGCGAAAGCGGCAAAGGATGGGCCGAGGAGGCAGGGATGCAAGGGTACCCTGGGGAAGGTTGCCATCCTAGCCATGCGGCTTGACTGTACCCCAGAAGGAGCGCTCTCGTCGAGGGTAGGAAACGATAGGAGCAACACCCTACGCGCTGCTCGCAGACCTTGAAGGAACATCCATGTTGTCGCAAATCGGTTCTGTTGTCGCCCCCCCATTACTCGAACCATGGTCGCCTCCAATAGAAGAAGCAAATCTATATAAGCATAAACTTTTGGCGCTCCGTGCGGAATTCTTGGATCTGCGCTGGACCCCCCTCCCTGTCGCGCGGAGCGCGCCAGGGGCAGCGCCGGAGGCGCCGCCAGGGGGGCCCCAGAGCGGATCCAAGAAATCCGCGCGGAGCGCCAAAAGTTTATGTTTGTGGCGTTTTTGTTCTTCTTCTTCTTATTCGATCCAAGAAGCCGCGCCGCCCCCCCCCTGTGCGCCCCGCCGCCCCCCTTCCCACACAACCCCGAAGTCTTGAGCTTCTCCGCGCAGGGCCCCCGCGAGGTCTGGGCCTCTACCCCCCTGGGCTGGGCCTCCACAGCCCAGGCCGCCCTGCCGCATGCCCCACGGGGCCCTCCACGAGCACGAGGGCCTCAAGGGGCCGAGCACGAGGACGGACCTCGTCTGTCGAGAAGGCTGGACCCAGAGAGCCAACACATTGAAAAAAAAACACGACGAAGGTTTGTCGCAGCTTTCGGCATCTATACGGGGGCCCTTGCCGGGCCTCGGCACCGCCAGAAAAAAACGACTCGGGATGGAAAAGCGGTCCTGGGGAACGGGTCGAAGCTCCCGGGGACCCCGCTTGGAAAAAGCGCGGCGTCGGCTCTCTGGGGAAGTCGGGGCCCCCACTTCTGCGCGCCGCCCACCGCCGGCCCGCGGCCCCACGGAGGCCGCCCGCGGGCTCTGGCACTCCGCGCCGCCGGCGTCGGCGCTGCGGGCGCGCCGGGCGCGGCGCAGGGCGAGGCGCCTGGAGCGGTCGCTGAGGTCGGGGCGCAGCGGCGGGGCCGTGCTGGCCTCGAGCTGCTCCAGCCTCTGGGGGGAGCAGGAGCGGCAGAAGCAGAAACTCTCGGAGGTCCGCGCGGATTCCTGGGGTCGGCGCTGGACGTCGCTGGCGGCGCCTGCGGCACCGCCCCTGGCGCGCTCAGCGTGCCAGGGAGGGGT